TCGAGCCATCCTGAAGATTCTGGAAACTGCACACCTGCGGGGCCCAGACTCCGCAGCAGTCAGCTTGGTGAGGATCCGACTCCATACCGGCAGGATGCACCAAATCCGCGCCCAGCTGGCCAGCCTGGGCCATCCCCTTGTTGGAGATGCCCACTACGGACAAAGGAGCGACTGGCTGCCTCGGATTTTCTTGCACGCCTCGTCCTTGAGCGTTCGCCTGCCCAACGAGCTGCTTCAAGCCGACTGTGCTCTGCCAGATGACCTGCGGGAAGGCTTGCGGTTGTGTGCCGCACTGGATGTGGCCTCCCGAATACTTTGTCAGCGGCAGCTGCAGTAAAATCGGCGCGTTAGAGCGAAGCTCATCTGGAACGGACTTGCTGCCTCCAAGGACCAATGGCTGCCAAAACGGCAGCGTCTTCCCCAAACAATGGAGATGCCAGATCTGGCCTGAGGCCTCTTCACTGCCAAAAAAATTCTCCAACCATTTAATGGTTGCCGTGTAGCATGAGACTGAAGCCGGTAGGTCCGCCACGCCAGCACCGTGTCATAGAAGTACCCACAGAAGAAGGCCGGGACGAGAGCAGTATCTGAATGCATGACTCGAATCTTGCCCAGCGAGGAATAGGCGGCACCCCACGACGTCGACATCAGCGGGCCTGGGTAGCCGGAGGTCAAAACAGCTTTTTCTTGCTGCAGTGTTGAAGCAGTGTTGAAGCAGGAAGATTGCCAGGTCAGAGCAAGACCACGGCCCCATCAAGTCCAAGGCAACTCACACAGCTTTTGGCTGAGTCTCTCATTGTGCAGTATGTGGAGTGCTCTTCTGTATTGGAGTATATTGCAATCATTGCAGTCGAAGGCACGACTTGCTGGCATGGAGTCGTGTGCTCCCCTCCCTGCATTGCCAGAGGCCAGATGAGCTAGAGTCTAAACTCCTGAAAAAGTGGCGCTTATTGAGGGGGATCTAGGAGTTTAGCACAGATGATACCGCTGCCAAATCTGCCAACATGTAGATTCCTTTAAGTTGCTTCACGACACCCTAAGAGAAAGGATTTCTGCGGACGATGGGCAGACATCTGGAGCGCGCTGCAGATTCTGAAGAACAGGTCCCATGCGCTGCGTGGCAACATCTGACTTGTCAGATGCACAAGCTGTTTCTTTGGTCCCGTGGGCTACCCGCATGCCAGGCGATGCCTTTTATTCTGTGCTGGAGGGGTTGCAGGAGTTGGCAGATCTGCTGTTCAGCGCTCAGATGGAAATCCTGATCTCGCATGACCCTTCGAATGGATGTGTCCAGCTCAAGCAATTGCTATCAGAGTTGGTCCATCTGCCAACCTTTACCGGGTTCAGAGTCTAGAGGAGGGTTTACTTTCGGCGATAAGCCGTCTTCACATGTTATGCAGTGTTTAGGCTTGGAGGCCTTGAGTAAAAGCTGACCGAAGAGATTAAGCGACGGTCGGAATAGACGCCTAACAGCCTGAGCTCTGAAGATTGACCAGTGCCATTTGAGAATCCATGTAATCCATTTTCAAGCTTTCTTGTAGCGGACCCAATCTGTGTGAATGTCTGATTCTAGGGAGTAGGAGCATTGCAGCATGTAGGTTTGACGGTTCGACTGATTGGCTTTGCGCTCCTGCGACTGCAGTCTGGCAATCAGTCCTCTTCGCCTATCAAGATGGTGCGCCCAACAAACATGAGGTTATGGACGCACTGCACGTGTGCGCAACGTTGCACGGAGGCTGTGTTTGTCTTGCAACGAAGCTGTCGGAGGCGTGGATGCCGGTATTGTTGGAATCCACTACTCGTACTGAGTCATGTCGAGTCATGCCTGTTATGATTCATGATGTTCGGAGGCTAACCACGTGGAATCATTTTCCGACGTTTGTCGATGTCATGTTGGGAGGTACATGCTTACAGCAGGAACGTATTTCCATGCCAGCATAGCTTCCTAGGTTAAGGTTTCAGATGCGAATGAGCACATACAACGACTTCCTGCATGATGAGAACGCACAGATAGCCTTGCAGCATTAACTCCAAGAAGTTCGCAGCGCGTGAACCAGAGTCCAAGGTGTTTGAACGAAGCGCATGGGATCATGTGGAGCTACTGTGAAGTTCTCTCGTAGCAGCAGTTTCAGCATCTAAAGTCACTGAGCACCTGACACTTGTAGAAGCTTTTTGCTGCATGCACAGGCAGGGCAGGCGAGGCAGACAGTGGATGTTGGGAGCGAGGCGTGGCTGGGAATTCTGCAGGCCAGGACAGCTTGGCGGCTTGGGGAACATGGATTTTATTTGTTACTCGATCAACGTTCTGGGAGGCTGCAGTTGTCAAAGCCCTGGAGAAGCTTACCAGGCTTCGAGCTCAGTCCAGAAGCACTTCAGCGTTCAAGTGTGGCAGAAGGTGGCTCCGTGCCCGTGCCTCTCCGAGCAAGTTGCGAGCTCTATGTGCTCAAAACGTGTGGGGCACTGAGCTTATCGAGCACCTTTGATTGAACAGCGAAGCAATGCAGAGGACTGCGCATCGCTCCGTATCGCGCAAGGCCCTGTGCTGCAGCCCCGAGTATCATGAGATCTGTGGTGCGATGCCAGCTGCCAGGCTACTTCGTTGCACAGTGTTGCCAGCACCCTCCACAAGTTCTGGGCATTGACCCGACCGCTGCCTAGCCACAGCTGACGTAGTTGGAAGGCAAAGACGCATGAAGAATGAAGACTGAGGCCCGCTCCGGCACGCATGCCCTGCAAGATCTGGCGCCCTGAGTGTCCTGGCATGTCCGGGGGACCTCAGCACACTGCTCAGAGCAGATCGCATGCTGCCACCAAGGTGGCAAGTTGGTGTTGATGTTGGACGACGTCGTTCGCAGCTCTGGGTTTTCTTCTAAAAGAGGAGTGTGCAACGCTTTGGCTCCCTGTTTGGCCTGAGGATGGGTATGCTGCGGACTCAAGCTTCCTGCACCTTTTGGATGGCCTTTTGCACAGATGCTCCTCAGTTGAATTGTTCTTGTCCATTCCATGGCTACATGAGTCGCTTATGCTCGGCATGCTACCGTGTAACAGGCCCGTTCCTTCACGTTGTGCTCAGTGCACGTCACCGTTGTGCCCTCAGAGTGTGCAAGTATAATAACCGCCTGATGCGGTATTGGGGCATGTGAGTGCAGGCATTCCCCTCTCCAGCGACGTGAGCATCAAAATAGTGCAGCAGGACGCATGCTAGGATTTGGCCAAGAAACTTGTTGCAGATATATCGCACAGCTAAGTTTCAATTCAGTAGAGCCAAGTTGTGGATATGACAAGACTAACAGGGGTCAAGCGGAAGCTGTGACAGGATGTGTTGGGCCTGCAGCCCCTCGATGCCGCCCGCCTCCTCCTCAAGCGAGTTCTGGCCTCCGATCTACTTCTATTTGATCGCTTCTTGTTGGACATGCCGAGCAGGTTCCACGGCCGTTGCTGTGGCGTGAGATCGATCCGTTTGCAGCCGGGGCAGGAAAGGTCACGAGCACCGTTCTCAAAGAGGGCCATGGTTTGATGAGAGGACGAGAGGGCCACTTGGTCCTATCCAGCGAGAACCATGCAGAGGCGCTGACGTGTAAAGCAACCTTTTATCATTTTTGCAACAGAATTGTGCTTCCCGCGCTGAGGTCTTAGCCCTTGTGGCAGCGCACCCCCGCAAGCGCCCCAGTCGGTCCATCTTCAGCAGTGTACGTTGTGACAGATGTTAGGTAATGAGAGTGCAACCGGGCAGGAATGATGTCTGTGCGGGGCAACCCACGAGGAATATTACAGCTCGCCAATTCCCTGGCACCTACACCGACATTTGTGAGAACAACGAGGGCAGTTTCACCTGCGCCCGTCCCGCCCTGTGCGGCTGAGAATCCAGGCTGCGAGGCCCCACAGGCAGAGTGCACTGCCGACTGCACGGCAGAGTGTGGTACCATGGCAGGCACTTGTAGTTTGTCCCACTTTCGTTGTAGTAGCGCCTAGCGTTTAGAATCCAGAAAAATTCTTGGTCAATGGGCCAAGTTGCGTTGTCTAAGGTGCAGAGTGTGACGAGTGCGATGCCGATAGCCCTCATGTTGCTTGGCTTGCAGGGTTGGTGCTCAGGCAAATGGTAAGGCGATATTGCAGACGTAAGCTTGCGAACGTACGGTTTGCTGGCAAGTGGCCTCTTGAAGTGTTGCTTGTGACCTGTCAGGTTCTGGCAAGCGGACTGCGCCAACGTCGGCGCCATGACTCTGCTCCCCCAAGATGATTCTGAGACATTCCGAGACCATCTCATCCCCGCCCACGGCCTTAGAATGTTGAGGCACTGAGACTCTGACACGATGAGCCCGAGTGACTCCTCGGCAGACGTGCAACGTTGCAACATATTGCAACCGCCACAACAGCTGCAATGGAGCTTCCAGGACGTCAAGCAGAGCTCTTGGTCGCTGGATGTCCGGTCCCTGCGGGAACTGTTGGCTAACTGGCCATGCATTCCAACAAAGCGTGCTCGAGCTTCCTTGGGCGACAATGGCTTGGCCGGGTTTCCAAATCAGCACCTCAGCCCCTACCCCCAAAGGCTGCCATGTCTATTCACAGGCGCCTGTGAGTTTGCCTCTTTGACAACCAAACGGTGCCTTCCGAAAACTCAAAAATGACGAAAAGGCTGAAGCAATCACGGCGAAGGGTTTAGGCCTAGGCAAATCTGGCTGCTGATCGACGCCAAGCTTCGTTGCGAAGCTTCTGCACCAGCTGGTCGAGAGTTGCTTGCAGGACGAACAAAATGTTTCTAGAGTGAGTCTATGCAAGTTTCCGCTGGAGAGGGCAAAGTTTATGAGATCTTCTGATCTGCACCTTCCTTGCACCAAGCGCGCCAAGTTACACACTGTGTCCCAGCGTCTCTTGCCCAAGCTTCTTCCGGCTGTGCCAGCCGCACTTGGTGTCCAAAATAGCCCACAAGCCCAAAAACAGCCCCCAGGGGAAGATGTAATACGGAAAGCGGCCACAGGTCCTTCTTGTTCCTTCCCCTGATGATTTATTTGCGTTCGCCGGCATGCTCGCCCAGACTTCAGGCTTGTATTGTTGCAAGCCCTCCCAGCTGCAGCGACAGACTCAGCAGGTGCTGGCACGCCTTCTTCGTCACTTTTCCAGTGACTCCAGACCTGGTCCTCTCGCAGGTGTGGAAGAGCATGTGTAGCAGCTGTTGCCATGCCGGATCCTGTATTCCGCGCAGTTCTTGTGACAGGTGTGCGAGTATTGGACATGACCCGAGTGCTGGCAGGACTATGGGGTACCAGAAGACATGATATTCTTTCGCATGACTGAGTGTTCGTGTGTGCAGGACCCTCGTGCACACAGGTGCTAGGCGACCTGGGAGCGAAAGTGACAAAAATCGAGAGACCTGAAGTCGGCGATGACACGCGCGGCTTTGCGCCTCCGTTTCTTCCCGGTGCTACGGAGGACAATCTGATTTTAAGAGAGCCTCTGAAGAGTTTTTATTGGACACCCAGCCTCGCAGATCTGTCCTAATTAATGGACCATGGACCCCGGAATGTTGCTGGATTTGGCGACCTAGACCCACTGAATCAGAAAAATTCTGAGAGGCCTCTCATCTGACCCTGTGAACGCTCATGAGGGTGGGGTGGCAAAGGACGATTTGGAGTGGACACGGAAGCCTTCTGATACTGTTTCCTTGGGAGAGGGTTTGGGGGGATATTTGGTGGCTAGACAGTTACACACCCACCATTCATTGGGAGCATAGGTAAAGATAACTAAAGTTTGAAGTAGGCAGGAAACATCCCGTGGTTCCTCAAAGTTAGTATGCAACACTTGTGTATCGTAACATGCCTACCCAGGCAGAAAGCTTGTTTGAAAAACAGGGTTAGTACAGGTCTGGCAAAGGACACGACTTGCAACACACACACACACACACACATGGATCTTCCCATGATCATGATGCAGCCCTTGCAGCAGATGAAACTGCTCCGCCCCGACCTGCATCTTTTGTTTGGTGTACTTTCTCCTGGCCTCCGCACGCTGTGCTGCCAAACTTGACCGACATGCAGAAAATTCAGGACACGAAGCCTATGGCTGCATATTTTGCGGCACAGAACCGCAACAAGGCCTCGGTGACGGTGAATTACACCCTGCCAGAGGGACAGGACCTGATCAGCTGCTTTGCAGTGCCTCCAGCGCTGCTGGATGTTGCTGGCTGCATGTTGAGATTGTCTAGGAGATCCTCCGGCGCCTCTTGAAGAGCAGCGACGTGCTCGTAGAGAACTTCAAAACCGGGACTCTGGATAAGTACGGGCTCGGCGGCTCAGCCAAGTCAGTCCACCGTCAGGTTCCAGGCTGTCTTGAAAGTCATCTGAGGCTACAAAGATCTTCAAAGCCATTTCCCTTCTTTGGTCTACTGCTCCATCACCGGGTTCGGGCAAACAGGGCCGTACAGTCCTCGGCCCAGATGCTGCATCGCTCGGTGACACGCTGCTAGGGTTCTGTATTATCGAGGCCCACGCCCCGGATACGATGCACTCGTGCAGGCCGGGCTTTCTGAAGACTAGGCGAGTAGCTATCCCAGCTCCTGTTCAGACAGTCTGCAGGTGGCAAACACAAGCAAGCAAGAGCTTTTCAAGCTATATTTAGTGAGATTTCCTTTGCTGAGAGGCGATGGGTGGCTTCATGAGTGTGACTGGGGAGGCGGACCCTCCCATGCAAGCCTGGTGGTTACGAGTTACAAGAGATCAACTTCAATTTTGGCGTCAATGGTTGAATCTTGGGCAATCCTTCGCGTAGTATGTACGCTGAATTGCCAGCTCCGTGTTTGAAGAGTGTTTTAAGTGCTGCTATTGCGTTGAGGATGCCTGCTGGAGTCTGCTTGAGCTTTTGAACTCCCACTCGTTTCAAGAAGAAATAAGCGCCGTAGAGTTGGATAGAACAGACTCTATGTCGAGACGGCATTCTCTTGCATGAAAGATGCTGGATTCGGCAGAAGCTTCCAGGCCGTTGATGCCAGTTTCTAGAGACAGGTATTGCAGCAGGCGAGCGGTGTTTTTTTCCGTCGTGTTGACTTGTGACATCGGATCATGTCTGCTGTAGGTCTCGAAGAAATTTCCATTGATTCTGGAATCCGGCGCACTCACTAGGGCTATTCTCAAGCGTGACTGGTGAGGTGGAGGGCGAGCCAATGAAGGTGGGAGTCCCAATCCACGATCTCTTCGCCGGGCTGCATGGGGTGTCTAAGCAGCAGCAATAGCTGACCTCCTTCAATGAATGTGGAGTTCAGAGCATGTGTTCAGTTTGATGCTGCCGCCAGGTGATCGGCATTCTGGCTGCTCTCCGCCATGCGGCTCTGACGGGAGAGGGCCAGCATGTGGACCCTTGGCAAGACCTGGCGAGAGCAGCCGATCATGTTTCAGCACGAATGGCTTGTGCTGTAGCCCGTGCTGTATTTTTCTCTTGTTTTTATTTCCGGGCTTCGGGGTGCTTTTTACTACCTGCATGATATACTCGCACCTCCTGCTTTCCTTCAGTTCTTGGCTACGTGAGTTGCGTGCAGGGGCGGGTTCTTTGGGCGCGGGCGAACGATGAGCAGGTGGTGGGAAGGTGGGGAGCGGTTGGGGAGAGAGCGGAGGGCTCACGATGAGGAGAGGGACATCGACGCAAAGGTGGAATGGGGTGGGGAGGGGGTGGGAGTGAACGGAGGTTGGGTTGGGAGCAAGGGCCAGTTGGTAGGTGAGAGGAAGGGAGAAGGAGGATTCACTGAAGTTGAAATTGTAAGAAATATGAACATGGCGATTTGTGGGATGGGCGGGGTGAAGGGGTGGAAGGAGGGGGAGTTGAAGGGGAAGTTACCGAACAGGGGTGGCGGGGAGAGCAGGTCCGGGAAGGGGGGGGGGGGCAGGCAGAGAAGGGACGGTTTTGTTAACACACCTGAAAAAACGTCTAATTTGCGGGTCAGGGGTGAAGGGAGCTAAGATTCGGCAAAGGCGGGACAATTCACAGCTTCAGGGGTGCAAAGGGGTTGAGGAGACGATTCACAGTCTGGAAATTGTAATTTTCAAAAGAAAAACATGACGGGCGGGGCTTGGTGGCAAGGGGTGAAAGTGAGGGGGTTGGAAGCCGGGGTGGACACAACGAAACATGGGTAGAGCACGAAGAGGAGGCGATCCGCAGCTTCGAATTTGTTTCGAAGAGTGGTGCTGTGCGTGCCGTTATTTCAGAGCGCTGTCCTAGCTGTAGTTCCACAGCGCTCACCCTGTACTGGATTGTTTTACACATACAGGATTTACGTATATTTCCAGCTTCAATCGCAACATCTTCATGCAGATATTATGAATGTAGAAAGTCGGGTCAACTTTCCGTTTGAAAGCGCATGTAGTGCTGTGTGTACGTGAGGATCTGAAAGCGAGGACAGTTACGAGGATTGCAACCCTGAGCTCCGCGATCCCTGCGACTGTTCACACTTTTCAAAATCCAAAAGGGTTCGAGGGGTGCATCACCTAAAATCTGATCTTTTCGGGTGGATTCGGGGGAGAAAGAGAGGGTTCGGCGGCGAAGTATTTCTTTTTTTCATATGATTAAGCTGATTAGGTGTGTTTTGAGTGCTGACGTTTTTTCGGCGATTCTTATAACAACTACCATTCTTACCATTCCTCCTTCTCTGTTATTTTCCCATCCCGTTGTCGTTCTAGTGTTACGGTGGCATCTGTTGCTTTACTGTTTTTCATTTTAGATATTGCATGTTTGTCTTATTCGCATTGTTGCCAACATGCCCTTTGCACAATTTGGTCAATGCGGAGTTAGTCGTGAAGATGGCCAGCAGCACTGCCCGAATTCGGGGACAGTTGGCACTTGCCAGACCCAGGGGCAATGTCGAGGTTCAACATTTATCCGAGGCACAAGCTAAAAGCGAACACTCACAGAACCTCTCCACCCTTCAGAACTCTTCCATGAAAAAGCTTCGATTTCGCAAGTAGCAAGTATCATCATGCTAAGCGCGCCTCCATTCGAACAACTCTTTCTGAGGGAGGCAGTCCTGCATTTGAAAAATCAAGAGCATGGGTATCTATGTTTCAGCTGGCTGTTGCTGAAAGGTGCCTGTGTGTTGGGACTAGCTGTTTGCGATTTCTCCGCCACCTTTAGATCTGGCAAGCTTTTGCAAGTTTTTTGATGTGGATTGAGGATGTTGGGATGCTGGACGTGTCCACAGCCGGGGCCCCGCAAACTCCACGTGAAGCTGTGCCAGACACTGCCGGCAACTAGACCCACGCTACCTTGCAGGCGATGTTGGCAAACCAGGCCAGCAACTTCCTTTCCACAGGGAAGCTACCTCAACGCTTGGGCAACCAACATCCCAACATCGTCCCCTACCAGGCATGTCTGGGATTGCAAGTGTTCAGATCCTCAAGAAACATGAGAACGATGAATGACCTTTGCGATTTGCCAAGTCAATTATTACGCTGTGACAGAGTTTGGATTCAGGAGCCTGATATTTTAACCTTGTAAACGTCTAGGTCAGTACCGCTGCAGGTCATGCCGGCCTCTGACGGCTTCTTTATCCTGGCCGTCGGGAATGATCCTACCTTCAAGCGCTTTGTTGCCGTGGCAGACAAGGCCTCTCAGTCCTGTCACAGAGAAGGCTCTTGAATGACAGTGACTTCGACATGTGACTTCAGGCCGATCCAGCGGCAAATGCTCCAGCGCTGTTGAACGATAGTCGCTTCAACTCGCAAACAGCGCGGGTGGACAACAGGCCTTGGATTAAGAAAGCATCAGCGCTTGTGACCATGGAGACGTCGTTGCTTGTTTCCTTTGTCAGGAAGCTGGTTACCGAGACCTGCAACGCGATCACAAGGCGGGACGTTCATTCTTGGTGATAGACGCTTGTAGCTGCTTGTAGCTGTGTGGCAGGAAGAGGCCTGTGCAATGGTGGTTGCAAGAGCTGGAGAATGCCAGCATTGGCTGTTCGCCGATAAAGAATTTGGAGGAGTCTGTGGGCTGTTGCTTCATATGGCTGTGTGCCTGGCCAATTGCTTTAGCAGGAGGTCTTTGAAGACCCTCAAGTGAAAGCGACACTGGGCTGATTTTGTTCGGTCCAAGGATCGCTTTGCTCACTGCTCCTGTCCCACGAAAGCTCAGGCGCGACATGGTCATCGAGATGCCCGTCGAAGGCGGGTCTTGTCTAAGAGAGCAGCGTTCACAAAAGAAGGATTTGCTTCAAGTGCATGGCACAGCGCACAGCGCACAGGCCATGCCCCAGCCAAGCTGGTGGCTTCACCCTTGAAGTTCTCTTCGACACTTGCTGCAACTTAGGTCTCTCTTTTTGCCTTCACTCGCGCCGCTGGCATATGTTCCGCACTGTTAGGACCCCGGCATCATACCGGCAGCCTCCGCCCAGCCTGGGCGAGCATACCGAAACCGTCCTGGCCGATGCTGGCTTCAGCGCAGCCGAGATTACCCAGCTGCGTCACAAAGGCACCCCTGCCTAGCCGGGCTGGGAGCTTTCGCATTCCCTGCATGCGCCGAGGTGTTGTTTAACGAACGCTTCAGCAGCCTTTTGCCTTGAGCCGTGCCAAGCGATGTACAGCGTTGCCGAGCCAAAGAAGTGCCGGCAAGGTGGGCTCAGCCGTGGTGACCCCACATGTTAGGGCATGTCAGCGGACAGGGTGAGCAAAAAGTTTTTTCCTGGGAGTCTGAAGGGATCGGAAGGGATGCTGGCAGCTTAGACAACAGTTTTGCAATTTGGTGTGTTTGCTAAACCTGGAAGATGAGCAAGCCTGCAGTATGCAGCGTAGATCATGAAGGCAAGCAAACATGTGGGCAAGAACAATAGACACATGTTTTGGAAGGGAGAGAGGTTTGGTTCCGCACTTTATGTAGACAGGTGGAGTCATCATAGTTTTGGTTGCGAAAAATAGGGTTTGGTACGATTTGGCATTTACTAGATACTAATATTGCGTACGGAAGAGGGTTGGCATCTCCACAACATGATGCTGGAGCTTGCCTGCAAAGGCTTCTACATGTGCGTGCCTTCAGTCAGCTGGCCTGCAAGCTGTTCTCGGCTTCAAGTTCGGTGGAAATTACATCAGCTCATATTCCGCTCCACTAGCTATGGGTAAGTTTCTTTCGCAACTTTAACAAAGCAAGAAAGAAACTGGGTTTGGCGGTTTGTCTCGGCACACAGCCAATCCTGAGCGTAACTGTGCATATTGGGCGCAACCAGCCTTCCGTGCGGCTTTACGACAGTCCTTGCTAGTAGAGCATGGCAGTGCACAACAGCACAGCCGTCGACGAGGAGCTTTTGGAAATTTGAACCTGTTTTGGAGGCGCATCGCAATATCTTGCAACTTTGCAGGCCTTGTGCCTCAGGGCGCGTTTGGAGACACCACACTTCGTTGAGAAGCTGCTGCCCCAGCTGGTTGAGCTGGTGTCCCGACCTGAGCCGTATGAGCCGTGCAAGTGATGGATCGGGAGCAGATATGCCTGGGACGTTTGTTCAGGCGGTATTCCAAGCTGCTGCCACAGGGTGAAGAGCACGCCATCCGCAGGCAGGTATACCGCAAGGAGTGGAGCAAAATGATCCAGCCGCCGGCTGCAAGGGGATCCAGAGACTTTTTGGCCTCCTCCAAGCATCTCGGCGACCGCTCCCTGGGGGCCGCGCGAGCCTCGCTGCAGCGCTGTAGTCGGTGCCCATGTCACTAGTTTTGTAAGGTGCACCAAATTTTATCCTACTCGGCACAGTCGTTGCACCAAGCTACCAAACCAGAGGACGGGGCTGCAGCGAGGTCCAAGGTGCAAAGCCAGCCCAAATCCAGAAGTTGAGCACGAGCATGGTTTGTGGGTCAGCCGAGACACCGAGACACTTGAGCCCTGGCCATACTTTTGCTAAGTTGGAGAAGTTGCATTTACGAAGCCACACGTCATTTCAGAGAACCCAGCTGGTTTTGTGCCTATAACAGCCGGTTGTCAACTTTTTTTGCACACGTGCGCAGGACTTGAAGAATTTCAATCTCCTCGTTGACAGCTTGGATGATGTGCTCGAGAAGGTCGACGCACACCTCAGGCTAGCAAACTGGAGGCTGGCGAGCCGGCTGAACGGTTTTGCATGCTGGACAGGGATGCCAAGGCCGGCAAGCAGCGCGAGGCCCGTTTGCTACTCACCTATTCTCAGACTTTTCCAGATTGAAAGCAGTCTCGCCAACTTTCTGGTCAGGAGCTCGTCGAGGAGGAAGACAGCGCACCAACACCCTCAACAGGTCACGTGTCGGAAAGTGGTCAGGGTAGAACACGTCGGCAAGAGCAAGAACAGGTTCAACCAGCACCCGTGCTCCCAAGCCACAGGTGCCTGTGATGCACGGCTTGTCTGCATTGACTCCAGCTCGCAGGGGCTTTGCCCGTTTTGCAGGTGCGCTGGCGTCAGCTAGTTGACAATCAGCGGACGAGCTTCGTGCCCAGGACTGCGAGAATTTGGGAGTAGAGTCATGGCAAGTGAGCTGATTACAGGCTGTTAGTCAAGCACAACGAGCAGACGCCACTGAGTCCAAGACTCTTGGAAGCTCAGTGCAAGGCACATGCTTGATACGTTCATGTCCGCATTTAGAAGCTTTCATTGCAGACTCTGTTGTGGTAGACCTGAGGCAGGCATACGGCCGTTCTCTGGAGCAGTAGCCTCAGCTCTTGCTCATAATCAGCATACCAAGATCATGCAAGCTGATGTCGAGGTAGCGCTGCCTACGAGGCATGGTGACGCGAGCGAGGCAGTGAAAGAAGATGGGTCCACACCAGATCCAGTGTTGTGTTAGCAGATCAGGACACTTTGGTCAATCCGTACGAAGAGGACAAACTCGTTTGCGCACTGGCAGGGCTCTCGTTAGTTCAACGTGGGGCTTTGATTTCGGGACGTTTGCGCACTCCAGAGTACTCCCATGCTTGAGGAATTCAATGCAACTCCAGGAGCTGAGCAGCCTTTCTTGGCCTGACAACTTCTTTCGACCGCGCCCTGCTTGTCGTTACCGCCGAATGGAGGTGCACCAGCTGAAGCAAGATTGCTTGGATGCTGCATCGCAGACAGGATTTGCCCTGCACCTAAGCACATCAACATGCAAGAAGGAAGCGTGGGCTTTATCTGGGCAAGTTAAAGCGACTTCACCGGACCTCGCCCTAGATGGTGGTTTATATAGGGAAAAGTACCACGCTGGCCTGAAATTGGGAAGTGACATTTTTCTAAATTACCCACGTTTATGTATGTCATACAATAATTTATCCGGAATGTGCGTACCTGAGCCGTGTCAGTTTGTAACAGATGTGGAAGGTGCTCTGACCGGGAAACTGGCAAAAGCGGTTGTGGGGAAGGTATGGGGCAGGCGAGGGCAGTGATTCAGGATAGACCCCACGATCCTGGGCTTTCATAGCATCAAGAACCAAACCTCACACTCACCAGATCGTGGTTGTCCGGGTCCCGTTTGACAGGATACGCCACTAATCATGGTGCGCACAGAGGCAGATCTGAGAGAGATGGTGGAGGATCAGTTGCACGAGTCAAGACAAAACAGCCAGTTGCTGTACCTGTATGTACCTGTATTGTCGTGAAGGAGATCAAGGCAACATGCATTGGCAGCGAGATTGCGGTGGACGTCGAGCACCATGACTTCAGGCTCGTGGCTTTTACTTTCCCCTTAGGCGCCTCAGAAGCAACTCAGCAACTCAACAACAACAGCCCGCAGGTCCTTCCGAGGATTCGTATGCCTGGTCCAGGCAGACCCAACTGAACCTTCCGTGAGGCAATCATGGTCCGGCCGTGCTCGCACGCTCCCAGGTGTCAACTCGGCAGAAAGATTTTCTGATAGATCCCTTCGACATCTTTGAGCAAGCGCACATGCTTAACGAGGCCCGTGGGCTTGCATCTCACCCGATGGATTGGCAGACTCATGGCAGACTCATGACTTTTCCAAGGTCTTCTCTGATCCACGCATCCTGAAGGTGCTGCACGGTGCTGATCGCGTGGATCTTTGCAAGCCAAGATGGCGCGACCTGTTTGAACACCTCTGTGGATTGCTTCAGGTGATGTGATGTGGTTGCAGCGTGATTTCTCTGTCTACCTAGTCAACATGCTGGGCCCCAAGCCACCAAGTTACTCCGCACAAGTAGACAAGGATGTTGTGTCAGGTTTGACACAGGGCTCGCCACTCGAGCACTGCGGATGCAAGGCGATTTTGTAGCCTTCTTTCTAAGTTGTCAGCTTCTGCATGGGTCCAAGGGTTCGCCCTCCGAGGTGGCTATTCCTTGGCCAACCTGGTCTCGCACTTCTGCGGGGTGGATGCCCTGTAAGGAGAATTTCTGTTGCAGGAAATGAAGGATGCTGAATACGGTGCTGACTTCTCCGCTGCTAGCTTTTAGCGAGAGCCAGGCACCTGTAACAGACAGACCATGGAAACCACAGCATCCTCATTGCAGGACAAGCGTGCATGCAGACTTCAAAGACACAGCAAGACACTGCAAGTTCTAAAGACTTGAGCCTTGCTACCAAAGTCGTCCAAAAGAGAGACCTTCGCAGAGCTAGATGCGCCCATTTACAGTGACGCCAGCGCATGGCTCACTGCAAAGGCGCCTCCAACACGTGGCAGCAGTATTATTGTCCTTGCCTTCAGCGTGAAGTTCTTGACAGTAGTCACCAGGCTGAATCATGGAATGGACGACAGAGAGCCCCATCGTGCAGCCTGTGCACGAGCCAGAGGAGATAGTGGATGCCGAAGGCCGCATGGTGATTTGAGGCGCACGGCTTTTCTTGGAGCACCTGTGAGGCCTAGAGCACATAGAGCACAATGCGGCAGAAGTGCAGAGGCAGAATTCGGCTCTCCACGAGAACCACCTAATAACCTGCGGTGCCCCTCCTGAGAGGCTGCGCGAGGAGAATGCAGTCCTCCGGGCGAAAGTGCGCGAACTTCAGGTGGACGTCAGAAGGGCCAGGGCAGCTTATGGCAACTTGCAAGACTTACTCGAAAGTGTACATATGCCTCCTCCGCAGTTCCGACGTCCCAGATTGAAAAACGGAAGACTCAACTCTGAGCTTGTCGCATTCTGCCCAACTCCGCTGCGCAAATTCTGAAACATGAGCAGAGCTGCATAACGGAAAAAGGTGGTGCTGGCCACCGGCGTTCTCACTGAGCTGGCCAGGTTGGTGGGGCAAAAGGCGTTGATACCTTGAAATGCTGCAGACACGGCTTCAGGCTCCGAGAGGAAAACGAGGAGCTCAAACTCAAAAGCGCAGTTGTAGCAGAGAGTTGGGTCGGCAAAGGGTGCGGCACTTAGAAATCACATGCCTGTCTGGGGGCATTTTAGCACAGCTCCTGCAAGGTGGAAAGGACCTGCTGCTCTCCTTCAGGTGCGATGGCAAGACATCCTCGTCATATTAAGCTCTATCTGACAAGTCTTTGTGAGAGCAGGCGCCCTATGACCTCTTCTTAGTGTTCTCGATTAAGGCTCGAGTCACAAGTCAATTACGATCGGTCTTGGCGATTTAGCAGTTTCTTGAAATAGGTGGGTTGCAGGATGTTGGAGAGGTTGCAGTACAGTTAGCTCTAGCGGACAGCTGCGCATGCTGCGTAGCATACCCCTGGTACTTTACAGGCCGCAGAGATCACGGCCTATTATGGCTTCTCTTATATTTTTGTGCCAGTGTCTCGGCACCTCCGTGAATCAGTGAAGTGCAAGCCATAGCAGTGATGCTGGCTGCAGGTCGTACGTCTCAGATGAGTATGGCATGTCCGACGAAGAAGCTGGAAGACTTTATGGGGCCTATGGCTTTGCCTGCACAGGACCGATTCTCATGCTTTTTGCACTTCTCAAGTTGCACACGAGATACGAGAGCTATCTTGTGTGATCTTATGTGATCTTTGTGATCTTGTGGTCAGGCGTCGGCCTCCTTCTGGGCTTCCTGATTGATCGTCTAGGTGTGCGAAGATCAATGCTGTTAGGCCCAATGCTTAAAGCCATCGAAATCTCCATGTGCAGTGTCTGCCAGCAAGATTGCCGCAGCTGACATGCAAGGCTGCACATGCTCGACGCTGTACCGGGCGGTTTGTGCTCTGGCATCGTCAAGGCGATGGAGAGCACCGTGGGCGTTTTTGCTGTCGTTTGGGTTCCTGGCGACAAGGCAGCTGATGTGGTTCTCTACGATGACCTTTGCTCCAGTGGGCGCGGCTTTTGGTGTCCCCGTCCTAGCACTTGCTGTCCGGCGGTACACTCACAGGCGGATCGCCAAGTCGTGCATTGGGCTTGTGCGTTTCAAGCTCTTGACAGCACGCGAAGCTTTTGGTCTTCTTTGCTGCTGCGTGCCCCTGTCCAGGGAGAATCGTGCCTTTGCCTTCTCCTTCTTTTACTCGATGCTCTGCCTGGGCTGCTTGCTTGGCCGATCTCTCAGGTTCAGGAACACTTGCTTCCATGGTTGTATGTTGCACTTGTCGTCTGAATCATTGAAAGTTGCAGTGCCCCCTGTAAACCAGAATTCTAATTGAACTTGCTGGTGCAGAGTAGGATCAAGAGTGAGAGCGTCCAGGGAGGTAGTCTTGAGATGTCTTGAGTTCAGCTGTGGAGACTTCAGAAAGTTCCTTTTTCTTCCAAGCAGGGTTGTGACCGTTCAGTGGACTGTCATTATCCTTTCCTTTCCTTTCCGTGGCCTTCAGTGTCCTTGAGGTTCGCTGCGCTAAGCACCTAATTAAAACTGTCAACATCATCAAACGTGCTCGGAACCCAGCAGAGGCTCAGTGCTTATCAACATTGTCCGCGATGTTCTGGTCGATGGAACGGTGGTGCTTGGCGTTCGGGCCCAATGTTTTGCAATTGCCACAAAGGTTGTGTTGCAAAGAAGAGCGTTTTGTCTGTAGACCTTGAACTTGTGATGCTCCACGATGGGCCCCCCTCTCATAAATGAGGACTACGGAAGAGTCAGTCTTGTTGCTGCCTAGAGAAGGGTTGGCTTGCTCAAGCCATGCTGTGCTTTGGCAGCTAGACATGGCCCCGCAGTTCAGGGCACGGTTGAGCAATCCGTTGAATCATTTTCATGTCACGACTAAGCTGAAAAGACCCATTCAGTTTCAGCATTCAGCTTCTGCGCCGGCTTCTTTCATTAAAATTACATGCACCGGAGAGAGCCAACAGCATACCAAACCCAAAGCTTTCGCCCGCATCAATGTCTTTCATTCGCAGTGCCTTGCTGAGAGGTCAAAATTAGCTGGATGAGGATGGTCTTGTGGTTGCTCCTTGGCTTCAATTATGGAGCCGCAATGGAGCCTCTTTCTTTGCAGATTGAGGGTGCGCTGTCACTGAGGTGTACTGCGTGCACGTTCTACACAGTCATCGCCTCTTTCTTTGTGCGAGATATCCAGATTCTTTCTGACATGCCGCTCAAGGATGGGGAGATTTGGAAGCCATCCCAGTGGTCTTTCCTGACCTTTGCTGGCAGGACAGAGAGTACTGCAAGTTCAAGCCAGCAAATTTCCAGGCAGGCCTTTCAGAGGATTTTTGAGCAAGTTTAATGCAGTCAGTGCAGGTGAGGCAGACCGTTAAGGAGATCATGGGCCAAGCTAAGTTCTGGCGGTTGGCAGGCATCACGGGAATCTTCATAGGCGGGGGTTGCCAACTTGAAGCTCGCATTGTAAGCGCTCGTCTTGAAGCCCCTAGGTGTTCGCATGACCTTTCGCCACTTGGACGCGACATTCCCGAAGTACTTCATCCGGACGTATGGACAACAGGCCGTGCAGAAGACAGGGGCTGTGCAAGCATCAGCTTCAGCAGCTTCGCAGCTTCAGCAGCTTCAGCGGCAGGCCCCATTTGAGATTATTCTTGGCATCAATCCCATCGTGGAAATGATCGGGACACCCTTGATGACGGGTCTTCTCCTGACTCTTGCAAGCAAGGCTTGGGGGGCGTTGATACAAATATATCAGAACTCTTCACACCCTTGGACCAATTAATGGGGCCTAGCTTGGACGAATGTGAACGATCCTTGGACGAAACGAATTCTGGCACGGGCAAGAGGGGGGGGGTCAGGGTAAGATAGGCAGCAATGACAAGGAAATGGAACGCCACTTTATCGCAGAAGCTGCGTGGCCCTCAGACAGGTTCGCTAGCGCGACGTTAACGTAGAATTCAACCGGGCTTTGCGTCAAGGCTGTGGGGCTCATTTATCTCCGGCATCTCTGTTTTCGCGCTCTCCATCTGGGAGTCCTACTTGGGGGCCGTGATTTTTGTTTTGGTGCTCTCTCTCGGAGAGGCTTTGCTGCTATGGCAGGCTTTCACAAACATCCAGCAGACCTGGGTAGCTTTGATGCATGTAAGAAAAAGCTCAGGACACCATTTGGTCGCCCACCCTCTACGAATTCTCGACAATGGCAGCAACTGAGGGCAAGGATGCACAGCATGTTGCTTACTTTGTGCATAACGGCTTGAAAGACGAGCCGTGTGGAATTGTAAGTCCCCATTGTCAGTCCCCTGCGGCACCAGGAGGGCATGTACCTGGCAATTACAATGGCACCAATGTACTTGGCAGCCCTTCCTGTGGGTCTGATCTCAGGCGCAGCTTTTTTTCGATTGGGACTGTCTTGATCACGTTCTTTGGATTTGTCATTGTAGATCGGATGTTGGTTCCCTTCCCCTGTTGGCTCTCAAGGCTGGGTGGGGTTGGGCTGTTCAGTCGAAGTTGTGGGCTGTCTTCCAACTTTAGCTGTCGGGTCGCCGTTTCTCCTCTCTAGCCGTGGCTTTCATGCTTTGCCTATTTGTTGCACATCAAAGTTCTACACCTTCAAAGCTGTTGCTGTCAATGCCTGTCACTCCTCTCTCTCTCCATTTTCGATTACGGTCAGCAGTTAGAAGGCTTGTGGACAATCCTGAATTGAATTGAATGCGTGCCTCATGCAGGGGGGAGTACGAGCTTGATTCGTTCAAGCAAGTGACGATCATGTTGTCCAGTTGAGCATAAGTGCTATCAGACGTTTTGAAGAGATTGCTACACAAGCGTCGCTCACTTACCGGAACAGGCAAAGATGCGAGCATACAGACCCATGCACATTCCCGTTTGCAGTCTTCTTTCCAGGTTGGGCCCTGGGTAGCTTTTGCCCTCAAAATGTCACCGCTGAGGACACGTTCTGCAGCAGGTGCTTTTTTGTTTAAGGGCTGTGCTGCTGCTGCTGCTGCTGCTGCTGCTGCTGCTGCTGCTGTTGGTATTGCAAGGTGGTGTGCAGCCTGCATGCATAGGTTGCGACGTGCAACATGCAGGAGCGGCGCTCCCAGCTGATGTGGTTCATCATTGGCGTCACAGGCCCCTCGCCTTTCCTCTTGCAGAGAATAGGGACACATAGCTTCACGTTGCCGAGGATTCATTTCTCCCGTGGCGTTGTGGTTCTTCCAAAAAAAGTTGATTCTGCCTGAGGTTCCTTAACTGAAGCCAAGAGTTGTCAGCTTGCAAATGAAGTTGGATTCGCGGCGTCGAAATCGCTTTGTCTCAGGATGAGAATGCGGGTGAGAAGGAGCGTCAAGTTCTGACGATTTAGAAACCATTTAGACCGGGATGGTTTGGATTCGTATTGGCTAAGCACCCCTGCCAATAGGGAGGTAGGATCAAGCACACATTCCAGCTTGGTTCCCAGGAGCTTGACGGCGATGAGGGCGAAGGTGAGTATCGTCAGACACGAAGGCTTGTGCCGACGCTTCAGCTTTCGATTTGTCATTAAGTTGACCAAACTGTGCAAAGGCTGCGAGATGCAGGTGACGTTCTAGGTGGCCAATCCCCAGCAAATACTGTCCAGGCCCGGAAGTGTCCGCGGGAAGTCTCTGAGCTTTGTGCCTTGCATTTGTGTATGTCGCATACTGGAGACTGAAGAGTAGCTGCGGGATGCTTCATGTTGAGCAAGAAATCACCGCGTGCTTCGTTTACCAGGGGACTACTTTGGTCATCGGCCGACCTTTGCCCGATGAGACAGTCCAAGAGGATGTAGCATTCAAGTGACCGATGTTCATTTTTATCCCAACTGCCCCAGCTGCACAAAACAATAGTTGCAGCTGGCTTAGCATCGCGGGTGAGAGCGTCTGGCCGAAACTGGGCCGGACCTTGTGCTCTTCTCTAGCTTCGTAGTTAATGTACAGCATCAGCCACCTGGCTTAGGACAGCCCTTTCAAGTTTGGTCGGATGCAAGAAGTGACTGCAGATGCATTAGCAGTATCAGTATCAGGGAGAAGTTTGTATCTGTCAACTCTTCAGGCAGCCGGCCTTGTTGAAGCACACAGCACATTCATTCCGGCACCCAGGTCAAGCTGGACAAGAAGTACCAGACCGCAGACTGGAGAGAGCGACCTCTTTCCGAGGAGCAATGCTGATGGACGTTGATGGGGGATTTTGCCATTCGTTATCTTGGCATGCTCGTCATGCAGCTGCGGCAGCTGCTGATTGCCGCTGCTGCTCGTTGATATGGCCTAAAACCCTGCAACACTTTCCTTTGTGTAGCTCTACTGAGCTGCCTGGACGAGCCTCCTGCAGGAAATGATTCACTATGCGCGGGTGCACTCCTCATTCTGCGGAGCCTGCACGGAGCTGACTTTGAGGTCATGACTCTCAGTGCCGACCCAGGCGGACACGCATTACCTACTCTTCTGCTTCTTGGCGCCTGTGTGATGGAAAGAAGTGGTACTCGTGCCGTCTCCCCTGTACGTACAATAAAAAACGTTGCCTGTGCTACAGGCGCCTCTATTGTGGATATGGGGTGCAAGTTCAGCTGATTGGCAATCGCAGGGATGTGTGTTGATATCAAGGTTACGACTGCTTGAAGAATGCCCTCCTGGCACAAAATGCACAGCATGGCCTGGCCTCGTGCTGAGACATGTTACTTGTGGCAGCCATGAGCTGAGCATTAATATCTTCCTGAGGCAAAGAGTGGGGTCAACTTGGGAATTGCTGCGTGCCGTGCCAAGCAATGGTGGGAATACTCAGAGACTCTAGGCAAGTGCAACCTTCCCAGGCTTGAGGGCGGCGATTTCGAAGTGACAGACGAAGGAGCCAAAGCCCTTTTTGTCGTGCCGCCTGCGTGCCGACTGCATCCAAGCATTTATGCTTTCTCAGTTCATTCAGCAAAGGTGCAGAGCCTTCAGACTGTTATGCAGCAGAGCCGCAAGCTCGGATACAAGAAGGCTCACATAGACCAGCACCGCGCTACACCAACTGAGGTACCGCCCTATGCAGCAAGACATATCGAGAGGCGCCTCTCGATGCTGGCGAGTATGTGCGCATCCCAGATGAGAAGACAGGGTAATCATGTTGGGAACAGACCCTTCGTGGTTCGTGGAGTCCTCATGGCATGCGCACAGGCTGCTTCGCTCTGCGAGCGATACGGGTCCAGACGTCCACTGGAAGCAAAACAAATGGGGGCTCTCAAGGCGGGTGCAATTTTGTTTGAAATGCTTGGACTGGCACATTCCAGAAGGCCCTCATTGAATGGCGTGACCAGCTGGCACGCAACATTGATGAGTCCTGATCCTCAGATGCTGTTGTTCTGCCAGCCCTATTCATGACACTTTTCCAGCGTACGCGTGCTGACAGTCAACTTAGGCAACAATCATGTGTTCGGTTCGTGTTTTGGCGGCTTTTTTTTGATGTTTTGTGGTCAAGAAAAACGCACATTTTCTTACCGCACATGCCATGTTGCAGCATCTGCTCATGTCATGGATGTTGTGATGTTGTATGCTGAAATTCGGCATGCTCGAGCGCTGAATGGATTTCCAATTGCCCCATCAGAGGGCCCCATAGCCCAGTAACCTTGTAGAATACAGTGATGGTGAAGACGACCTAGGGCGACAGGACAGGCACGCATGTTGTTTTATGTGTTGATCTCAAGCAAAAGCTTGAGGCGTGAAGTTTGACAGTGGCAGGATTTCCGATCCACAAATTGCTCACGCAGAGTTTCTGGCTCAAGCCTGCTCTTAGAGATAGCTGGGTCTGTCGAGATACCCCTCACACCTGCAGCGTGGGGCGCGTCGGCCCGGCAGAAGCGCAAGTATGCCTGATACCCCTTGAAACCCGGGTGACAACTGCCGACCACAGGGGTTGCCCCGCGGGAGCGACCCAGAGCGTGCAAGTTCGAAGGCGAAAAACCCCAGCTCGAAAGGGTGATGTTCCAATCCCGCTCCCTCACAGTGCCACCCACTTGAATCCCATCCGTCATCCATCAGGACAGCTGGCGCCCTTCATGAATGGAAGCTTCACAAAATTGACCCGCTTCACATTGACATGAGAATCAGAAACGTCGTGCGTTGGCGAGCATGTACATCCTACAGTGTGCAGCGCAAGCACCCAAGTGCAAAAACATACAGGACGGCTGCAACCGCAACTAGAAAGCGGATCCTTCAGTCTGGATTCCCGCCCTTGGCGCATAGCCGTCTGGCATTAACAAGGAGCCGGCCACGAGGAGGGCGCGGACTATCTATGGCTCCCGAAAGTCAGAGGGTGAGGCCTTGTGTTCAGACTGCTCGGCAAGGCGTTAACCATTCTTAGTGTGACTTGCGTGCTATCCAAATACATGGGATGCAAAACGCCCTGATGCCGGCGTTGTTCAGGCGGCTAATGCCCTCATTGATACCCTGTCGATGTCCCGTTTGGTCGGTCCTTGCCCGTTTCTTTTGTTTCCCAGAATCAAGGCTGAGCGCCCTTGCAGCTCTGGATGACCCGCTAGTAGGGCATACTGTATGAGCAATCTGCAGCTCTGCGCGTAGATATGCCTCAATACCATTGTGTTGGATACGAACTCACACCTCTTTGCAGACAGATCCAACACATAACCGCGATTTCAATGAAAAGCCCCTCACCCTTTTTTTGATTTGTGTTTGGCCAGCCGCAGTGTACAGCGATTGTGCTGGTGCCAGCTATTGGCTGCTGGTGTTCAGTTGGAAGAAGCTCGACACCATGCAAGATGCGCAGCTTGTCTTCGGGAGCTGGGCGGTGATTTTGTAGCGTGCAGGCTTTCGAATTCTTACCTTAGCCCCGCGCATGCAACTTCTGTTTCCATGACTTCGGAGGCCATTTGCTGCCTGAGCCTGTCGTCAGGGCCTCTCAGCATTTCATCCTCTGAAGCTAAACCTTTCGTCAGCATGGCAACATGCCCTTTCCCTCGCATGAAGCTAATGTTTGAAGCCTCTTTGGTGCGCTTCCTTTTACAAAAGATCCACTGAAGCATAGTGAATAGTGGAAAAGTCTTTCAAGCGAGGGTACCATGCAATGTTGCAGGTTCTCCCATAACCTCTCCCAGCGATCCTTCCAAAACAAGAGCGAAGCCCCACTTGGGCATGCCACTCTCAGGCACAGTAAGCCAATAGAAAACCCGAAGGCGATGCCGCAACCTGTGGCCGCGTTGGGGAGTCGACCTGCTTGTGCCACTGCTATATTTCAGTCGCAGCAACAAGCACCGTACGTGTACACGATGAGAGGCATCAGCTGAGCGCAGAAACCAGGAGGCGACATGGCGTCCTAGGTGAGTATGACTAGAAGGGCATACTGCAAGGAATGGGCCGAAGAGAAAACCATAGGATTAGTTGGGGGTCAGGTGGTGGGGCTTGGTGTAGGGGATTTTGATCACTTTCCAAATCTACACATCGAAGAAAGTGGGCCAGCAAGTACAGTCAAAACTTTCGGTCAGTAGAAATGTGTGGCCGGACCTGTTGTGCTGCCAGCTTGTGATTGTTGTTTGCCCTAACATTATGTCCTGACCGAGGTCGCTGAACTTCGTGGCACCTGATGCTTGTCTCTGGCGAGTTTGCCTTGCCATGCCCACTACGCTTGCGAGCTTAGAAATCTTCAGGTTGCGTAGACCGCTGGGTGTTTAAGCTGGGTACAGCAACTTTCTTGTTTGCATGGGACACATTCCCACACTTTCGGATACTTCCTTCCTACAGCCCACGCTGAAGAACTATGCTCTTGCTCTGGCAGATCTAAGGCCTGTGAAGCTGCGCAGGGTGCCCAGTGTTTTTGTGCGTGTTAGTCGGCAGCGGAGCAGAAATGGTTGTTGGAAGGCAGCACATGCAATCCTTTGCCGGCCACACTGCAGCAGCATGCGCAGGAGGCCAGACTCCATAAAGAAAAAGCATGAGCGCAGTTTGGCAAACAGTGATGAAGGTCGTGGACATTGTGGTAAAATGCTCGAAGCCCGGCCCTGCGATGGGCACACAGCATGCTGAGGCACTGGTAAGAGAGCCGTTCCAGTGTTGGCTACATGAGCTGTTTGCAGATGAGCAGCCACGGGCCTTGCCGCATATGTCGAGGCACCAAAGGAGTGCCCTGTCCCGTCTACTGCGTCGGCTTCGCCGCCGGAGCCGTTACCGAGTCAAAACCTTACCAAGAGCATGTTGCGGCTTCAAGTTTTTGCATTGGAGCAGAGGAAGAGGGCTGCTAGGAATCAGTTGCGAGGTCCACCAGATTCTGAGGCCACCTTGGACCCAGAGGCTGTGACATCCTGCCTTTTTTTACTGTCTTCTGTCTCATTAATTAAATGCCTGGAATGTTGCTGCTGGTGCAAGGCATCGCCAAGCGAAAGCAAGGCCCACGGTGAGTGGCCAGTCCGTCCGGCTCTGAGATGATGCAGGCAGAATGCCTTCTACTTAGCATGCACAACTCTAGCGATGACAAGAACGTTCAAGCAGATGAAGAGCGCATCCAGTGAAAGCTTGCCCAGGACTCGCGCAGTCACCGCGCCCGCTGGCACATGCCTCAGAGTGTACGATCGTATGGTTCTTTGTTCATGCAGCAAGTTCAACGTCAGATTGCCGTTTGCAACATCCTGTCCCAATTATATGGCCTAGACCATTGTTCAACTGGCTTGTCCTGCGTGTACTTGGTACCGTAGAGGTTGAGCGCAGCAAGGAGCCACCAAGCTACACATAAAGCTGGAATGCCGGAGGTGCACGTCAGCGCGAGCTTTGGATATCAAGGAGCCTTGACAAATTGTCGAAGCGCAGGGAAGCCAAGGGAAGCGAAATCAAGAGCCCGTGTGCACACTTCAGGCAGTGAGCCGAGCCGGAAGCGCAAGTGGGCCTCCAAGCTCGCAGTGTGTGCAGCATGAATTCGGCCTCGCTGACTTGGAATGTCAGGTTTGCGGTCCTCTGTGCGGGCTGCGACTCGGCTTCGGAGGCAGGAGGGCTGGATGGTGGGGTATCTCAAGATGTGGCACTATGTGGCACTGGATCCAATTCAGGAGCCTGCTGCGACGGGCTGCGCGCTCAGACATGCACTGCATCTCCAGACTCAAGCCCTGAATCCACGCATCAGCACCAGATGATACCAGACGTATCAGGGCATAAAGCACAGACTTGAGCCCCAGGCGATGGTGGCACAGCAGAGTACGGAAGCTCAGAGATGATTTACATGAGTAGTAATTCATTTGGAGGTACTATAGTACCCAATATAGCGTATACAGAATATAATCATGCTTGGTTCAACCACCAAAAATCGCGACTTACATGAGGCAGGCATGGCTTTTGTTGTAGACACTGTTTTAACGGTTTATCGGCAACATGTTTCAGACGAACCTCCAGATGGAGCTGGGGCATCAATCAACGCAGGCGTCTAGGCTGCTCTCAGAAGCAAAAGCCCGTCATGTCATGGCCGCTGCGGTCGAATATGCCAAGTCCGGACGATCGCAATGCTTCTTCTGCGGTCAGAGGATTACATTGGATGCGCTTCGCTTTCGGATGCCGCTGGAGCCAAAGTGGCGTTGCCTGGAATGCTTCACTCTGGTCATACCAGAACACGACGAGAGAAACTTTATGTCTTCATGCCGAGGCATGAAGGCGCTCTGTGCAGATGATCGACTGCTCCTGACAGAGCTTCTGAAGCCTACTTACCCGCCAAGGAAGAAGCGGAAGGGTGCCAACATTCTGGAGGAAGTATTGCTCCGGTCTGAAGAACACAGAGGTCTCAGACAGTGTGCTCGCGAGTGGGCACGAAGTGAGACTCGAGAGGCAGTCTCTGTCTCCTCGCTAGATGCAGACTCCTTAGAAAGCAAGGCAGAATAGCTGCCTTCGCAAAAGTCTTCTTGCTCAAATTTGGAGTGCTGGGACGTTGTGCCGGCAGCAGGCTGCCAAGCTTGCTTCCTTTGCACTCTCTGGGGGCAAAAAGCTCATTTGCAGTAGCCCAACGTTGATGTGGCGTAGAAGATGTTCCTACATCAGAGATGATGGATTTGTACAGTGTCATTGAGTACAAGGACCTGGGGAGGAGGTCCCACTTGCAGCACCTGAGCTGCCTTGCTTTGAAAAACGGGCCAGTGATTCTGGAAGCACCATCTCATGTCTTGTCCAGCATCTAAATGTCTTTGCTGCTTAGAGCCAAGGAGGCCCCAAAAGAAGCGTGCCAGGGCCGCGGCCTTGGTGCTATGGCGAAGAGCACTGGATGTGATTCAGGAGTTGTTGCTGTGGATGCCGTGTGAAGCTCATCCGGCATAGGCCTCCGATCAAAAAAAGTCAACACAAAAAACACATTTTCAATGATACCACTAGGAGGAAGAGTCAACAAGCAAACAAGCATGCATGACAGATGAATGACATTTTGATCCCAAAGCTATGCCAGTCACTGGGAAGAGCATACCTGTAAAGCAAATGAAACGATTGGTACATGGGGGAAGGGTCCTGCCCTGCTGTGCCAGACACCAGGAACGGCACAGCATGATTCAGATGACAATGAACATGAAAGGTGAGGTCCCCCAAGCTGTCCCGGCAGGACACATGAGCGCACCTATGCGGGTACATTTGCCTGGAATATGGGGGAAGCTTCTTTGAACAGGCTCCCCACCCCTCCTCCCTATCCCACTACACGGTGAAACGAGGGCAACTACAGCAACAACAACAACAACATGAAATCATGGCCCTGCAACGTTGGAGTGGCCCTTTACTTTCACGACCCTGCAGGGTCCACACACGGACACGGCATTTGCATCTTTTTTGGGCTGTTCGCCTGGATCCGCTTCCTTCGTCATCTATATATAGCACGCTACGGAAGAGGAGCAGGCAAGTTTTAGTTTTACCTTACGTATGGTCCGGCATGCCCTCCTATATATAGTATATAGCTCGGGAAGCTGGCTGCATGATTTCGGAAGCACCTTACAAGGACGCTTAGTAATTCGTTTGACCTGCTCTTTTTTTCATATCTGCGCTCGCTGACCTGCAGCAGCAAAAGGCTGTCGCTCTGCCCACCTATCATCTCTTGAGAGTCTTATACATGGTTTTTTTGCCGCGGCCTTGCGCTCCAACATACAGTGAAAGATTTGAATTTTCACGGGCCAGCTGACCACGCTAGCTGGAAGTCCTGAAGCCTCTTTGCCCGCTTTTCCTTCCATTGCTTTCGCAAAACTGATAGTGTCGCCGGTTCCAGTGAGCTAATTTTTCATTCAGCATGTGGCCCTGGTCCCTAGGTCATCAGGCGGAAGATTAGCCTCTCGGCGAGACTATGAGATCTGATTCGGATAATGTGGAAGATTTCATGCGTCACGCTAGGTACAGTGCAGCACGTTTTGTATTGGACCTGAGTGCGCGGCAGTAACTTGATGCCCACATTGAACAAGGCTTTGCTTCTCCAGCTCCACCTGCAGCAGTGGTGGCTACAAAGCCTCCAGAACCTGTCCAAGGTGAAACGCCAGGTCGGTGCTTGAAGCTTCTTTCGATTCATGTTGTTTTGAGTTGCCAGCTCGGGGCCGGAGCCCAGGCAACCTCGAACCCGACCCTGCGCGTAGCTCAGACAAACCGCTGAGCAAGAGGATAGTAAAAAGACACAGCTCAAGGCTCTACCGACACATTCGACACCAGACGCCCCAGCACCGTTAAGAAAGCGGAAGAAGAGGCGGCAGCACGCTTATCATATGCGCTTATGATTCTTTGTCACGCTCCGTTACTTTGCACTTCTCCCAGACTCTCGATGCCGAGGAAGCGTGCAGATGCCCTTGAGCAAGTTGTGGAGATGCAGGCAGGGACGCCGCGGTATCCTAAAACAACAATGCCATGTAACGCCTTTTTCATTCCTCCCGGCATGCACATCGTTGGAAAGCCTCAATTCCGGCCGGCTAGCAAATATGTCCCAATGCATGCACGTTTCGCCTTAGATTGCATGGTTTTCGTAAGCTTGCGTTGTTCGTAAATCTGTCGAGGCCGGAGGCCTGGGGCGTTTAGATGCAGAGCCGGAGACTGGAAGAGTAAGTTAACCCACGCCCTGCACGATGTCGGGAGTGGGGGTGGCTCTTATTTTTCGGGTTTGTAGGGGGTGTAGGGAGGGTCCGGGCGGTTGTCTGGGTTTCGCACAAGCTGGCAGGCCAAAAACACGGATTTCGGTTGGGGTTGGGTGCCGGGGGGGGGATGGGCAGGGGGGGGCGGGGAGGCAGCGGGGGGGCAGAGGGCGGTGGAGAGGAGCATGCAGCTCACGTATGACAGCCTTTGCCGAGGCGGTCTCGCTTTAGCGGTTAAATTGCTGCATTCAGCACACGGTTGCACATTGGCAATTCTTTACGGTGGTGGTGGCCGTTGCCTTCGGCCATGTGAGTCTGACAACCGTTGCCGGCAAATGAAGAATTGTTGCAAGAGGTGGCGGATCCTTGACCAAGTGAGATTGACATTTGGGCATTTGCATCGGAGACCTTCGAGTTGCCCTGACAGCAAGAAGCGTCGTCCTGTCTGAGGCAAGCTGTACAAAGCAGACAGTCTTTGTCTCTCGCTTCTCCAAATTGCAGGGTGTCCAAGCTTACGTAGGCCAGTTAAAGGATGGCGTTTCAAAGTGACACTTCAAAGGGTATCCGACTACACGTGCGCGCATCCTTGCTGTAGCGCTTTCCAAGCCCGAAACCTCCAAAACGGAGATGTGACCCACAAGCTGCTTGCTGAAGATCGTAGAATGCCCCCAACCCAAGGGTGCCTGAGCCTATGGTGAAATCGAATGTGGACACAGGGGAAGACTTTGAGACTTCGAGGTCATGGGCTAGACGGTGTCCACAGTGCTTCAATGGCATCACTTACATTCACCAGGATGACAGCTTCACTATGTTGATCGCACAGGCCACAGCAAGGTCGTTTTCAGTTTGCATTCTGCTTTCAAGCTACAATGACACCAGTTTCAATTTGATTCTTCTAAGCCGGATTTGCATGCCTTTGGGGAGCCTGTGCCAGGATCATAAGCATCATTGGGCAGGCATTTCTCGGGGCTCGGAGCGGGTCATGCAGCTCAGTCCGTTTGCCGGAGCGCCTTTGGGGATCCGGGGTACGACCAGCATCACAAGATATCACAAGCATGATTTGGCGACCTCCTTCTCTCGGCTCGGATTGGGTCATGGCAATCCTGCTTCTCATTTTCCGTGTGGTGAGCTGGTTTGCATGCCCTGGTGTCAGCTTCATCGACCCCAATGGCCATGGCCAGCAGAAGCATTTCAGCGTGGACCATGGGGGAAGCGCACCTACACATCATTGGTGGCAGAGTTAAGCACAGGCTACGTGCCTTGCAAATTTGCGGGGGCACGGAACGGCGCAACAGTCGTCGAGCCCACGCGTTCGAAAGCATTACTGTAGGAGATTTTACGTCGGAGGCTTGCGTGTACATGTACATATTTTGGTTGTGTCATTCCTCAGGCGGCCAACTCGCAAGACCGTGGTCATGGAGCTTTTCTTATACATTGCATCGTGCATTTACATAATTTTACAGCTTTTTTGTGGCATCTTAGAGGCCTGTTCCTCACCATGAGCTTTTCTCGGCGTTGCCTCGGTTACCGGCGGTAGGAGTGTTGGGGGACATGGGATCCAGCTTTGCATGCTGGGGCTAGGGGGTTGGTCCAGATGACCGCGCATCATTGGCGGTCCGTGAAGAGGGGGGGCAGTTTTGGGTAGCGTGATCACGGTGGTGGGGCTATCGGATGGAGAGCTAAATTCGGATTATGCCTGGTAAATTTGTTCATAGCATCTAAGTGTGCTTACAAACTGACTCGCTGGCTTTCCGTGCGGTCCACCTTGCTGTGCAGGGCTGCAGATGTGCATGTTTGCACACAGGCGGCAAAATCAGCTTCCCTGCAAGTCTGGGACCAAGAATTTCTGGCAAGTTGGTCTTCTCCCTTGTCTTGTTAAGAATCATGAATCATGTCATCTTTCTAGGTTCAACGGCCAGAAAAAACACGCTGCTCTTGGGGCACCAAACTTGCCCTGAGCCATTGGCAGTCAAGGCCGAGATGCCAGCATCAAACGGAGCCGTCAGCGGCCTAGAGCACGTCAAGATGCTTGCATGCACGCTTTTTGCATTAGCTCTGTGTGTTGGGTGATGTCTGCACTGTCAGCTGACAGGCTGAAAGCATTCCAGACTTCGGCTACTGCCTCCTTCCCGTAACAGTCGGTTAATGGGTTCCTTATATTCTGCCGTGAGAATCACAACTCTTTTTGGGTGGGGGAGTTTGCTAGGCCAGGGGTTGTCAAACTCTTCTGCCATTGATGTGTCTTGCTCCACCCCCATCATGCTTACCCCCACCCTCTTCCCTCCACTTCTCCTTCCTGACTCTCCTCACTTTCCCGTTCTCCCTTCATTTTCCGGCTTGCCCTCCCTTCCATGCTTCCCTCCTGCACCTCTCTTTTGCCTCTGCTGTCTTTTCCTTTTGTAACCTTCCCCATTCCCTCGCTTGCCTCCACTACCCTCGCGCTCCTCTCCCCCTCCTCTTCCCCCGATTCCTGCACTAAAGCTGAGACACGCGCAGATACTTCAATTATCGAATCTTTGCCTGTGCCATGTGCATGCTGTGCCTAACTCGGTGGAGCCTTTTTGCTTCTCAGAGTTCTTGTTTTTTTGGAACTTCGGCTTGCCCTGCTTCTTTACCTGGGTCAAGGGCCAAGCTGTCTACTTCAGCGAAGTCGAGCATCCATTGCTGATTTCGAGCTCGCTTGTTCTTGTGTCGCTTTAACCGCCTAAGGTACCTGTGAGTTGAAAAGTGTTAAACGACAGCCAGTTGTTACTTGCACGTGTGAGCTGCCGTAGAACGTAGAGAAGCTCCGTGGCTCTTGCAAGAAGCCTTTGGCTTGCAAACTTGAGAAGCTGATTTCAGTACGACGTTTGTCGTTCGCTGGCATCCTTGTCAAGTCGGTTCTAAGATGTGCATGCCTGCCACAGATCTGCGAGGTCCAGCAACCTTTCATGGGGATACCGGAGTTGTCTTCCCTTAAACAATTGGCCTCGCTTTCCACCCCTGTAGGCCAAGGTCGTGCCAGCTGAGACTCCAGCGAGCAGCACAGCTTCAGCCAGTCGCAAGCAGGCCCTCACTTACCAGACGTGGTGCTTCAAGAGCCTGGCCAGCAAGAGGCTCTCGCCAAGGCAGCTCCGGTAGTGGCCTGCCGCTGAGTGTCTGAGAGAACTCTGCGCCGGCTGCTATTGGCAGGGTCAGCAGTCGGCACGTGTCAGCAAAATCTGAAGTGGTTGCAGAAACTGCGAAGCCCAAGGCCGCCATTCCTGCGGAAGTGCCCGGCGCCTGCAAGGCAAGCTCTATCGCGCACCTTTCCACTTCAGGAACGGGCAGTGTCTGCTTTAAGCCATGACACCTGATGACAATTGAGCACTAGCGGCTAATCCCTGAAGAGACTGCAATGACAGTTAGGACCCGTAAGGATTTCTTGCTTCATGTTGGTGTGGTGCTGCCCACGAAGGTGCCGCCAGCGCCGCCAGCCGTTGGTGCCTCACTTGTCCGTACCTAAATGCTTACCTGCTCTTGCGTCAGATTGGGCTAAGCCCAGGCAGCGCATGCAGCTCCACCATCGGAGAATCTGGAGATGCCCCAGGCTTGCCATGCACATCGTCCGAGCTCACGATCAGAGGGCCTTTGCTAAGATCTTCAAAGCCAAGCTGCAGCTCTGCCAGCTTTGCGCAAGTAGCTAAGATGTCATGAAGACAGATGTTGTAGGCGTCAGTTCCGCGCCCCAAGAAGAAGAAGAAGCTGGTCAAACGCATGCAGGCACGGGCGCAAGTTTGTGTGCCCAGCAGTGGATAGTGCAGCACTTGGGTCACCGGAGGATACAGTCGTGGACCCCTACCTGTGATGCCCATGCCGCTCGCTTTGGTTTCAAATCTTGGAACGAAGTGCCCAGCATCACTGATACAAAAGGTGAGCTCGGTCAGCATGTAGATCTCCTGCTGATTCGTTCCGGAAAGGAGTCAGAGCCACCCGATGAGAGCGCGTCCGTAGCTGTTTGAATTTCCATCAAGTTGAAAGCCAGAGCTCCTAAACAAGCACGCAAGCACGCATTCAGTCCTTTTTGGCACTCTCCAGTTCCAGAAGTTGTCAGGCGGGAATGGTTTCCTGAAAAGGGCTGAGAACTGTTCATGCTTTCTTAGTGCTTGCAGGAAGGCATGGGCGGTGAGGATCGCAGCCCGGAGCGTGAGAAGTGGCGGCCACAGTCCAATGAAATCAGCTGCGGGCTACGCAGCGAAGTACAGATCCAAAACAGGATTTGACACAAGCAGACACAGACCACATAACTCTCACAAACTGAGAGGTTCAGAGAATAACAAGCTAAGTATTCAAACAGCCCCGAATTGTCGACTGCGCAGGTCTGTTATGATCACTTCAACGTCACTTGTTCCTCGTGATGCAGAGCACGTTGTCTTCATGGACACTCCGCAGTCCCTGACGGCCCTCCGACATCCCCATGGAATCCGTTTTCATCTCCGTCGCACCTTTCGGACTTCAACCAGGACTGTGAAATCACAGCCTAGGTGCTTGCAGCAGTTGTAGGTGGGTGAGAATTTGCAGGAAGGCCCCCAGTCCCCAAGGCCCAGTTTCCAAGTAACTAGAAGCAAGCGTGAGGCCAGAATGCCTCAGTACATCGTAGCTGACCACGGTAGAAACATGTGAGCTTAAATGGAAGGCACGAGTGCACCTCTGAGCTCAACTTCCTTCCCTCACCACATGGACAGCTCTTCAACGACTGACCTGCCTTCTCAGGCGCAATGCTGCAAAGTCTCGGTGAAGGGGGAGGGTTGAATGCAACATTAGCTTTACGCAATTCGGAAAAGGCATGAAAAGGCGCAGCCGCAGGCAGAGGGTTCAGGAGTTCAGGGAAGAATGACAACACGTTCTCTTGATGCAAGTTGCAATCTCTAAAGGGCTCGGGCTGGTGCGTTCGAAGGACATCGACCACTCGTAGTAAATGCGCCTCGTCTGCCCAGCCCCCAATGTACCGCGGGCTTGCAAAAGGAAGCTGCTCGGACCGGGAGCAGCCCTGGCAGGGTGGCAAATGCATGCTGCCACATGCTGCGACCTTGCGCGCGAGACTTTCTAAGATCGTGTAGCGGCTGGCACAACTCCGCAGAACGACCCTCCTCCTGTGAGGGAGTAGTGACCAGTGCTTGTCATTTGGTTTGTCAGCTCTAGACGGCAAGTCCGCAAAATGGCAAGACTAACATGTAGCACGCATCGGGGCTGTGCATCTGGATATGCAGGCTTCCTTTCACATCGTCACGGTTTGCATTGCGGAACTTCTGCGTACCCGAGCTCTAAGAGAAGCCTCCTAGGTGGTCGCCACCTTGGAGTCTTGGTCCATGGAGCGTTGAGCTCCGAAGTGTTTCCCGAGCCCATCCCACAAAGTGCAGTCCGCGGGTAAGTATGAATTCGGGTGTCCGAGCCATTTCCGGCAACCTGAGGGACAGAAGCCGCAGCCGCGATGGGAACCGCAAGGCGGGAGGTCTCTGTTGAATATTGCGCATTTCGCGGGGCTTCCGCCAAATCTCTGCAGGATAGTCGCAGCCCCAGCAGGAGCAGGAGCCGCTCTCGGAACAAGAAGCCCGAGGTCTCAGCGGGCCGTGGCACCGCACTCCTTGGCAAGCTCCTCGTGTTTTGCAGGACCATGGCGTTGATACCATGAAGATCACGGATGACGATGCCGCCTTCATCTTGGGACTGAGCCTCTGGCGCGGACAAGAGGCCGCAAGCTATTGTGAAGCAACTGACTTTGTTCAAGGCAAAGGCGGCAGGACCAAGGAGAAGATTTCCAAAGTCTCAGGCCTGCCTGCAAGGTCAGCTTTGCTTGTGAGAAGCTGTGGAAGTTGCCAGGTGCAGAGATCGAGCTCTTCGAGCGCGACCTGATTTTGGAGATCCGTGGTCCGAAGTTGCCTTGCGGCATTCCCTGCGGCAGCTTCAGGGCAGTTGGCTGTGGCTGTCTTACTCTGCTGACGATCGAGGCTGAACAGGCGACGTGCCAAGAAGTATTGCAAGGGCGTGATGGACCAGCGGACTGGCCCAGTCAACGTCACCCAGGAAGTGCAACTGCCATGACCCGGGGCAGCGCGAGTTTTGAGTTTTGAGCAAGGATGATGACGATGACGACCTGACAATGATCAACGTCCCGCAAGAGGCTGTTGGTTTTGTCACTGGAAGGCAGGAGCACAAGAGCTTTCACTCGTCCAGAAAGGTGCTTTTGCTGGACCGCCTGCTGAGCCGTAAACGTTAGCATGCGAGGGCTGGCAACTTCCTGCGCACCATCGAAGAGGAGTGGCCCTTGCCCCAGACTCGCAATGAGGATTTGTTTCTTCTTAACTTTCAAAGTACATCGAAGATCATTGAAGCAGATCGAAGCTCAAGCTAGTGACCGAGGAATACCTTAATGTTTTTCTGCGAAGTGGACGGGTCACGCGGCCGTGGGAAGGACCGTTGATGCTCCAAGCCTGCGGCGGAATCCACGAGCAATCCAGAACTACAAAGACATACAAAGACATACAAAGACATCTTGGCTTCACAGGATTATGAAAAGCTTGCCATCTTTGGCACTGCTGGGGGCTAAGAGCAGCGGAGATAGCGGAGCTACGGAACAGAGGCTCCAAATCCTCAGCTTGTGTTTTTGCCTTGACATGCGTTGACAAGCACAGGTCCGTGCTCGTCGTGGTGCAGAGCTTAAGGTCCTCAGTGCCGTGGAGACAAAGGTCCTGCAGGGATCTGAACAAATGTACGGCAGCGTGGCGTCTTTTGAGCAGGTGCCTGGCTACTTTGACAAGATTCGCCACGAGGCCGGCAAATGGTTTGTGGCGCGTGACGTGAGCCAGCAGTGTTCTCAAGTAGGTCGTCGATCGTGACAAGGGCAAGGGTGAGGATCCGGCTGGGATAATCTGCTCTTCAAGCATTGCATCATTTGGTCGTGCGATTCTTCCATGCGTGGCGTTTGGAGACCCAGCTTTGGGCTTATGGGTCTCATGGCAGTGCGACCAAAATGCTGGAGGATGGCACCTGGGGGACTGACACGATGACCTTCCAAGATGACGAGCTGTCCTATGCCCTGGGAAAGCAAGGCGGAACGAGGACGATAATTGCATTCGTAGACAGCCATAGGCATCCCATCCTACATTGCTGCGAGGAAAAAGCTTGAGAAGGCGTCCGGAGCAGTTGTACAATACGTGGGGCAGGTGCATTGCGGGGGTATGGCGGGCTGTCAGCGAAATGAGTTCCCCTGCCTTCAAGACGGTTCAGGCACGCTTGCTTTCCTGATGCAGGTGGCTCTCTTCTCTGGCGAGAAGCATCTCCGCAAAAAAGCCAAGGACTACCTCAGCCCAGCATCAATCCCTTGCAGCTCAAGGGGTGCAAGTGTCTGGAAGCTCTGGACAGGAGTACATGAAGTGGCTCTTCGATCAGCTGGAGGGTCCAGTGGCAACCTCTGCTAGACTGCTAGACACCTCGTTGCATCTTTGGGTGTTTCTCATGCGGTTGAGGTTTATGTGAACGGCTGGGAAGAGCGTGACGACTGCACCGTTGTAGACGTGGGGCACCTGATGGCAAGCCTTTCTTGTTTTGAGATTAGTATCTTGCCATATTTTTTCCATTCGTGGAGTGTTGGTCCTCGTGGTTTTTAAGGTCCCCAGCGAGTGCATCGGGTATGTTACCGGTGCTCGACGAGCAGCGCTGGGCAACATGGAGGAGGACCTCAGCCACAGAATTCAGGCTACAGCAAAGGCTAGTTTACACCTACAAAAGTGTTGTCAGGAGTGGGGTACGCTCATGTTCTTCATGAACAAGGAAGCTCAGAACGGCGGCGGCAAGGCGACACAGCGTTAGCTTTCTTCCAGCACGTAACGATGAAACGCAATAATCGCAAAACAAGTTATTTGCGATTTCTTGGACTCAATGCCCAGCACTTGCCCGTGAGAAGTAGACATAGGACACCTGTTTTATGATAATGGCTGCTGCCAGTGACGCTGACCACTCGAGTGCACTTTGGCGTTTATCACAAAAGTGCAACCCCTTCAATCACCGGCGGGTGTCCCTAGTACTGGCCACCAAAAACGTGAAGAGGAGGAAGACGAGGAATAGTGAGCAGTATATGCAGTCCTACGTCGTCGTGATCGCAGTCGTCATAGTAACCATAATAGTAGCCGTCGTTGTAGTAGAAAACAAGAAGTGGTGGTAGCAGCAGTAGCAGCAGCAGCAGTGGTCGTGGTAGTAGCAGTAGTAGTTTTAACAGTAGGAGGAGGAGTTGGAGTAGAAGTAGGAGTAGGAGTGGTAGGTACATGTCGCCTGCAATGTGTTTTTGTCGCGATGCAGGGCATGCACATCCTGCCTCTGCCAACATTCTTTAGGATCGTCATATTTTAGTCGAGAGTGGGTGCAAATTGCTTGAATTTGTCGAGTGCCAGCTGACACTTCGTCTCAGGCTTCTAGATATGCAGCTGCAATGGGGAAAGCGCCTGCGTCCACTCCTTGAATGGTTTTTTTCAAAGGAAAGTAAGAGATTGGAAGAAGGAAAGTGGACAAGGAATTGAATCAGATACTTTCCAGCCAAGACTCGTACAAGTGCTGAATGAAGAGCAGGGCGGGGATGGTTTGTCGATAGGGTGGCGTGGCCATTTGGCAAGCCTTCGTGGGAGACAAACAGGGCTGGAGACGAGAAGGGTAGGGTGGGGCCGAGCTGGGTGTCAGGGGAAACAGGGATGAAACAATGGGAACTCGAGGGTTTGGAATGGATGGAAAGCTCGGAAAGTTCTGCTGGACAGGTCAGGCTGCGAGATTTTTCATTCGCATAAAGACAAGGCATAGTCAGAACTTTGCCTCGTCCCAGGGAGCTCGAGGAGGTCGTGGCACTTCGGAGCAGCTGGCGATCTTTGGCGCCCGCCGAGCGCGGCGGGGAGCAGAGCTCAAGGCGCCGGAAAAGCAAACACATTTTTTAGCTCGGCTTAGCGAGACTCTTCTGCAGATCATGAGCGCTGTGGAGACCAAGAGCCCGGGCGTGTTCACACGCGGCGTTCGTGAAAAATTCAGCTCTGCTGGGAGCTGAGCCGCTTAGGCCGCTTAGGCCGCTTAAGGCTTAGCCTGGCTAAGCCTTACCGGCACATGTTGGCACCAGCTCCGCCAGCGATGCGTTTCCAGGAGAGGGGCTTTGCGACGGACCGCTTCGTGCTGAAGGTGCCAGGACGTTTGTAGTGAACGCCTCTGACAAGCAAGTCTTGACACAGGATGATGAGCTGAGCTATGCGTTGGGAAAGGAGGTGGGCCCTGGCCTGGTTGCGAGAGGTGTAAGATGCCGAAGTCTGTGAGGGTGCAACGCGAAAGAAGCTGGAGCTGGCATCTGGGTCAATCCTTCAGTGCCCAATCTTCGAGTCCGTAGACAAAGTTAGACAACTCAGTGGCGCCAGCATTGAAAGGAAAGAGGCTTTCCGTGAAAATTTGGCGAGGTACGTCGGGCATGTGGCTTTCATTGCCGGTGACCTGAAGGAACGAGAACTGTGCAAGGATTAGCTGTGACTTGTGGCCCCAAGTGCCTGCAGGAACGAAAGCGATGCAAACAGTTCATTGCCCGACCCCCAGTGCTCCCAGTTCCCGGTCAATTCCTTTGGGCACCACCCGAAGAAGCCCGATAGCTGATGCTGTGCACCATGACCTCACGGCAACGTGTTTGACGTAAAAATTACGGTAGGGTGCCCGTGAGAAAAAGCATCATTACTGCAGCACTTTCCATTTGATTCAAACACTTCCAACAAAGACGAGGGGTTGAGAGCCGACTTCTCGCAACTCAGACCACCTTGCGCGATTCTGAAAATCGAAGCTCAGGACTGGCTGCTAGCTCAGCGCCGTGGGTCGGTCACCGTCTCTGACGTTGCTGATCGGGAGGAATATCTGTCTCTGCTGAAGCTTACAGCATTCGAAGCTCTTTTGTTAGACAGATGGCGTGCCAGCATGGTCACGTTCGCAGCATGTAGGACTGCACAGAGATGCACATTCCCGAGAACTGCAAAGGCTGGCATGTCGTAGATAGGCCATAGGACAGAAGTTGCTTGGTTGCTTGGTGGAAGCGCTGATGCTCACAGGCTGGGTGACGGGCAACCGTGGCAGCGAGCTTCGCCGTGTTGAGCAGGCAGAATAGGGTAGCTGCTAGGTTAGAAGCAGAGAAGATGGTGTTTGAGCCTTGGCCCGAGTAAGGCAACGGGCACCTTCATGTTCATGGCCCTGGATCGGCACGGGGAGGCACCTTATCAAGAAACATCATGAGCCTTTGCTGCCGACAAGCTACGGCAGGAGCGATTGCTTATCTTCAGTGCCAATGGTGGATCAAAGACTGCTGACGGCGGTCGTATGCACGCCGAGCGCCGGATCCTTACTTGTTTGCGAAGGGAGAAGCTTTTTATTCAAAGCTTAAATCCAAACCGCTCCTTCGGAGGTCTCATCAATGAGATGGTGCAGGAGCTCTTTGGAGGAGATCCCCACACAGTCGATGCCTTTTATCTGTGCCAGGAGAAGCTCCGCGGAGACTCCCGCGGCCGGAGCCGCTCAGATTCCCGGCGGAGGGGTGGCGGTCGCCGCGACTCTCGGCGAAGGTCTGCCCCTGCTCGCTGCACGGTCGAGCATCATGCACCAGTTGCGCAGGTCCAACAGCCGTCGTCGTTCTCCCAGCCGTCGCCGTGATTCGCGGTCCCGGCCGGGGGCTATGGGCTGGAAAGGGCACTTACAACAATCACAATGATGCACAGCTCATGATGCTTTGCAAGAAATGGTTCTGAGGTCACGGCGATAAGTTGTCTCAAACGGGATGCCACAAGGGCTTCCCTACAAGAAGTGCATGCTCGATGATCTCGATGGCCAGTGAACAGAAGATGTGCTCCTGCCTGAATCTCATCAGCTGCCGAGCATGCGTTTCGCACGTTCCGCCTCTCTATGATGAGAGGCTCGAATCTTGTCATGAGACCTGGTTTACAAGGGTCTCGCCCGGTAGATCACTTGTCAGAATGGTGAAGATTTCTTGCAGTCAGCAGGCCAGGAAAGAAGTAAGATTGGTTGGGTGGAAGCCGCATAGTTTTCATCTTCCAGCAGCGTGTATCTTACTCAATGTGCCGTTAGCTGCTAGCTTGTGTGGGGAACGACTCTTCTGAAATTATGCCAGGACATGCACGTACTCCCACGCTGCCAGAGTTCTACTAGTTCATGACACAAGCAGTCTTGGAAGCATGCGGTCGGACATGTTATGTTGCCACTTCGGCATGAGCGCTCAAAGACGACGATTGATGTAGCTAGCAAGCACTGCAGAAATGTCTGCATGTGAGCCGCTCTACTCCAGGTTACAGGATGTCAGGGAAGCCACCCATCATGGGAGTCAAAAGACGCTTACAAGCAATTCAAGTTCTGGTGTCCCAACTGCAGGCCGGCAACTCGAAGCAGAGTGCAGTTGCCGATCCTGTGTTAAAGCAGGGAATCTTGCGATCGTCACAATGATTCTCAATTCCACGCGGCGTGCGAGGAAAAGTGCTGTGCCAAAGTGACTGCGCAGTGCTTGCCCAGCTTACCGCAATTACAGTTCTACACCTTCGGAAAGGAGCTGGCATTGTGAACCTCTGCCAACAGGCAACCCAGCTCAAGCTACTGACACAAAAGATAGCAAAAGCATACGAAAGCCGGCTTGACACAAACCGCCAAAACTGCTAGTCGTTGGGACCCTAGGTTGCGACCTGAGCTTTCAGCTATGAGCGTGCCAATTCTTGTCCATTCACATCGGGGCAGATGCTGGGCATGAGGAGATCCACGAGGAATTCAATTGCAAACCCTGGAATTCCTTCATCAGTTCTTTCCATGCGCCTGGGATAGTGACAGCACATGCTTAATTTAAGAGGACACAAGCTAACAGTATAGAAGGTGCAATGCCAATGCAGTCCATGCAAGTGCAAACGAACCCATGCGACGAGCTGTCAACTGGGCGCGGGATCCAAGCAAAACATATTTGCTGTGCTTCCGTCAGCTTTGGTTCAGCTAGACTCGGCTCTTCTTGTTCAGGATGGGCGAGACCTTCCAAGTCATGGCGGTGCAGGAGCAACATGCGGTTTGGGACCCTTCCCTTCTTCTCCTAGGTCCCACATATACCACGTGCATCTTAAACTGCATTTTAACACAAATTTGATGCCTTCAGTGAGAGGAGTTGCTGGGTGGCGCATTCCTTCGGATGGATGACGGTGATCCCGAGGGCGCTCTGCGCAGTCCTTGGCAATGTCAGGCCACCAACATGCGCCCACCCCAAGGCAGTGTCAATAGTTGCAGCATGAAACTGTACCACACTGCTCAGATGTCTAACTAGGGCACAACAACTTGATTTCCGAGTTGACCTTTTCGTGACAGGGTCGAGATGGCAGAAAGCTTAGAGATATTTTTAAATGTCATACAGCAGTGTAGCTTTGTGTAGGGCACGGTTCTGCGAGTAGGATGCGTGAACGCCTGAGCAGTCGAATTTCGACCACAGACGCTTGAAGTGCAAAATTCCGACTAAGTGAGGTCTTGCGCTCTGCAAGCGCTCCGGCTTAGCGTGTGGCCCTGAGGTAGGCTTGGCTCCGTCAACTTAATTTGCAAAAACTGCCAAAGGCTGGGCCAACCGCTATGGCAGCTGCAGCGTGGCAGGCTTCGCAGCGGGAGTCAGCCATCGAGGTACCATCACATACTCATGTGAGTCTTCAGGCTGCGTAGTGCAAACGTCCTTTTGTGACCATGTAATGCACGGAAGCTCACAGCCAGGTCTGCAGAGAGATTTTGCAGCGGGGGGGCATCTTGGTGGACAGGCCCGCCACTTTTTGGACCTGTAAGTTGGGGTTCCCACGGAATAAGCGAAGTCTCCAGGGGCCACGGCCAGATTCTCAAGAAGACCTTGGAGGCTTTCTCTGCTCTTCCTTGCCTTGTCTTCAAGCTTGACCGGTTTCCATGAAGGATGGTTCGTCCGTCGTCTGCACGCGATGTGGAGCGCTTGTTGCCTGGTCAAGGGCAGAGGCGAGATCATGCTTGACGTGTTTCTGTGGTGAGGGAGACTGCTTTGAGGCTCATCGTTCCTTCTGGTGCCAAAGGAAGGATGAGAGCGAGGCCTTACAGAAAGACCCAAACATCTCCAAAGAAGAGATGCGTTTACAGCCAGGCTGGCCAGGGGCCGACGGATCCTCATGGCCTGGGCCTGGCCCTTAAGGTGACATTGCGCTGTTAAGCGAATGAGAAGGATGACGTGATGCATGTGATGCTCCCTGCGATTTTGTTGTTCGAGGTCCGGACCACATGCAGCTGGACTGAGTCCTGTGCCCTGGCCCTGCAGAATTCATCTCCTAATCACCAGGTCGCCAACGGCTGACACAAGTCCGGGACACGGGATGGGGCGCAAAACGTCTCACCTTCCCGTCCCTTGTTCAGGTGTTCATGGCGGCGACAAAATGCTCTGTTCACAACTGGTTGCATCAGACACGATCAGAAAGTGCTGTTTAGCATCCTAAATATTAGACAGCTTTGCACCTCTCTTCCTTAGCAGCTCTTAAATCTCCTACGATCGATCAATCAAGATGCCGCTCTATCATTCTCTCCGTTTTTCGGGTCGTCATTTTGATGATCTATCAACCTATCAATTTATCAAGCAATGTATCGGTTTTCAATTAATCAATTTATTGCCAATATTGTCGGCGCGTCGGTCTATCTATTTCTCGATCTAACCACCCACCAGGGCCTGCACCAGTTTATTTACTGGATGGAGAGTTTTTTTTTCCTACACCGCGGGGACCGCGATACGGCACTAAGAGCCTCATTCCCGCTCGCTAGTATCTCCCCGACAAACTCTCCCTCCTATCTACTCCTCCAAATTCTCTCCCTTCATATCAAATCCGGCCAGGGTTGCGCTATTTGCCTTATTCTGCGGCTCCTTACTGTCATGCCTTTGGGTGCTCAATAGAGGTCGACTGAATCTCTCTGGGTTGGAGTCGGGGTATGCTCTTATCTAAGATTGGGCTCTTTTTTCGAACTGGCCCTTATTACTACTTGCACTGGCAACGGAGGGGCTCGTGGACTGAACTTTGCCTCCTCCTATATTTCCTAATCGCTTGTAGCAAATTTCCGTTGAGACGTATTTGCGCGGATAATGATTTATGGAATTGTTGCAGATTGGCTTTAACTATTTCCTTAGCTGCCTATGCTTTGCAACTTTTTCTGAGCTACGCGCTGCTTAACTTGCCTTCCGTATTTTCTTGGCTCATATAACTTGCCGTCTCGTGATTCCTCAATTTCTAGTTATAATTTTGCTTCTGTTGGGCGCGTTAGAGGGTCCCATACGTCTTTCTTCGATTTAATTGCCCGCTCTTTGCAACTCGCATTGCGATATTTCGCATTGCTCTCTCCTGTTAGCTTCTCGTCTAATATTTTTGAGCTGCACGCCGCGTGCGCTCTTTCTAGCTCTCTACGCGTATTCCTTCAACTCAGCTACTCGCTCCTTGCAATGGGATTAACTCCTTCTTTAGTTGCGTTCTCTCTGCAGCTTATTATCGATATTTTGCTAATTGCCCTTACGGTAATACTTGCTATTTGATATTTCTCCAGCTCAATTAGGCGCGATTTGTGCATTTTTTCTCAACTCAACTTCTCGCCCTTTAGCGATTCTAAATCAGTATTTCACTAGATATCGTTCATTATAATTATATATATATATGAATACATATTTTCCCGAATGCGTAGCAGAAGGCTTCCCGTTTTAAAATTGGGGTCTAGGAGGCGACGCGAGGTCGTTACGTTGTAGCCGCAAAGCGTCCGCAAGCGTTCGCAAAACGTTTTCAAACGTCCGCAAGCGTCCGTAAGCGTTCGCAAAGCGTTCGCGGAGGGTTAGACATGCTGGAGAGACGAACGAGACGAAAATAGTCGCGAAACGCAGAATTGTCGTCATTTTTTACGTTTCGCATTACAAAAGTGTCAACAATCAGAGGGATCGGGGGGGTCGTGGTCGCGAAACGCATAACTGTCGTCACTTTTGGACTCGTCTCGGGTCGTCGCGTCTCAAAAGGGTCAACAGTCTCAGGGATCGGGGGGGTCGTGGTCGCGAAACGTATAATTGTCGTCATTTTTGGACTCGTGTTGCAACTTTGCGTCTCAAAAGTGTCAACAGTCACAGGGATCGGGGGGGTCGTGGTCGCGAAACGCAGAACTGTCGTCACTTTTGGACTCGTCTCGGGTCGTCGCGTTTTAAA